CGGGCTGGAGCTCAAGAGGGATGGTTTTGGCCCTGGTTCTAATCCTGTCAGATAATGTGACCTTAATCCTATTAAGTGGTATATCTGTTTTTATTTCTAGCCGGATTTTCTCGTTGAGTCAGCCAGCCCAAGATGTTGTTATTGTAACAGCTGTTCAGTTTACAGAGGAAAACGAATCTATTTTGTGAGCGGGGCTTGTGCAGAGGCCATTAGCCTGCCATGGGGATTTTCTCTGAAGAGAAAGGAAACAGGAGGAGGGAGCATTTTTATTATCTGGGGCTTCTTTCCTGGATTTTTTGTTGCTCTTCAGGGAAGGAGTCAGGGGAACAGAGTTTCTCCTGGGGTTCTGCTTTCCTGGGGGGGGGGGCAGTATCCTTCCCACCCCCACTTTCCTTTTACCTGCGACCACGGGGGGTGGGTGGGAGGGTGAAGGCAGAGAAAGCCAACCGCCTCCCTGCCATACCTGTCGCTGTAGACCGACCTCTCGAAGACCAGCGCCGCTTCCGGGCTCTGCGGGCTCTGGGCGGGAGCCAGGGAGTCCAGCTGTGCCTTCAGCCGGCTCAGGCACGAGTAGCTCTGGAAGGTGTAGGACCAGCGCGAAGGCTCCCGGTAGATCATCTGCAGCAGGTTCCCGAAGGAGGGGGAAGCGGAGCCCTGAGGAGAAGTAAGAGCGGCCCTCCTAGTCTTCACCCGCCCGCTCGGGGGAGAGGGAGGCGGAGGGAGACCGACCCTCTCCCTCCGTCGCCGCTTCCGCTCTCCGCTCTCCTTTCCCCAGGGCGGGCAGGCTCCAAGCAGGCAGCCGCGGCCCGAGCAATGGCCAAAGCGGCACAGGCTCGGGCACCTCGTGCTGGCCGGGAGAGCCAAGAGGGTCGCTTCCGCGGGCAGCTCCCTCCACGTGCAGCCTACCTGGCGGGTGCCTCGGACGTCCTGCCACTTGGCTACCGGCTCGGCCGTCAGGCGCCACGCGGGGAAGGCTCTGCGCAGCAGCCCCACGAAGGTCGACTTGCCCGCCGCTGCGGAGAGGAGGAGAGGCGTCAAAGGCCGCCCGGCCACCCCTCCCCGCCGCCCCCTCCTTCCTCCTCTCACCGATGTTCCCCTCCACCGAGAGCCTCTTGGCCGCCGTCCGCGGGAGCCTCCCCGCCGCGCCCGCCATGGATCCGCCTGGCGAGGAGGGTCTGCGCATGTGCAGACTCCGCTCCCTCCCCTACCGCGCCAGAGCCCCCTTCACCTTCGGCGTATGACTTGAAATTAGCGTCGTGTCATGTAAAATGCAACATTAGAAATAACTATAAACGTCGATTACACCTTTAAGATTAAGGAAAGAGCTGCCCTACATCACTGCAGATGGAGTGACCTTGTTGCTGCTGCTATGAAGGAACCCGAGAAAGAACTTTGACACACCTGAAGAAGAAATATGCTTCTTTCCTGGTGCCCTGGAACAACAATTGAGTGCAATGGCGGAGGAGAGTAGATAATATAGCAGTGGAGCCTGGAGTCATGGTGGGAAGCTGAATCTGGCCCTAGTAGGGAAGGATCTCAGCACCCACATGCCTCCATTCTGGCACCGCCACCAGTGTAACGCACCAGTTGGGCTGACTAACCAGCCCCTTCTGGCTTTCTCACATGCTGCCATGATGGCCTCTGCAATCTTTTTTACTCCCTCCCCACCCAGAAATGAAACCTGAGAGATGCATGTGGGAGAAATTCCATCAAAAACTGCCACTTTCAGTTTTCCTGAAATTGTGTTAATGTTCACTGCTAGTATCCAGATTGTGTGATTGTAATGTGATCTATGAGCCAACTTCCTATCCATCCTTCTCTTTTTTATTTTATTTTAATTTATTTTTTATTAACAAACATAAAATACACATACACAAAACTTAGACGTACACCACATTTACACAATACAATACAAACAGGAGCTTCCTGTTCTTTATAATAGCAATTATCAATCGATACCGCTCAACTTATATTATTTCCCCTTCTACTGTATTTCATTTGGATTTCACCAATCTTAGCCCTCTTATTTTACTCATAACTATTATTATTGAGTTTTGTTGTATTCCTTCATTGATTCTTGTTTCGTTTCCGAAGTGAGGCATGGGAGGAGTCACACATGGGTATTAACACAGCCCTTTTGCCCTGGAGACTGAGGTAAATCTTGAGGCCACACCACTATTCCTCCTCTGACCTCCCAGATTAACCTCAGTCTCCGGCCCAGAAGGAGTGTTTACCTGACTCTCCTGCGCCCGCCATGGGTCTGCCTGGCGAGGAGGGTTCTGCGCATGTGCAGACCCCGCTCCCTCCCCTACCGCGCCGGAGCCTCCTTCACCTTCGGAGTATGACGTGAAATTAGCGTTGTGTCATGTAAAATGCAACATTAGAAATAACTATAAATGTCGATTACACCTTAAAACTTTGTGTACTAAATTAAATAGGAATAAACATAACTGTCACCTAAACTTAGAAAATCACTGTAAGATTGATTCAGTGATGGGTTTCAAAAAAATTTAGAACCTCTTCGGTAGGTGTGGCCTGCTTTGTGGGAGTGGCTTGCTGGCCATGTGACCAGGTGGGAGTTCGCCCAGGTTCGCCTGGTGCAACAGTTGCGGCCCTACCTGGACCGGGAGGCACTTCGAATAGTCACTCATGCCCTCGTCAC